ATAAGTTTATATATATATATATATATATATATATATATATATATATATATATATTTTTACAGCTTGGTTCTCTCAGGAAAGAATATTAGAAGACAAAAATATTGTGTCGGCGTGAGTACATTGGAAGCCGTGACTACTGTATCATTCTTCAAATTATAAGGCGTGAGGATCATTGTAGGGAAAAGACCAATTGTAAGGTATGTCTATTATTAATATTTACATACAGTAGTAGTCATGGAATTAGATAATCTTGATGATGATGGTTGGGACAATCATTTTAACGGAGATGTGCTTAAGAATGAAATAGAAAATTAATCATGATGTCATGATTGCATATAATAATGAGTCTGCAATTAAAACCTTGCTATGGAAATTATATTAATTGTACTTTTCGGCTTTGAATTTTGGAGACTCAGTATTAGCTAATGAGTGGATAGTAAAAGGAAGAAGGAAAAGTAAAAAACAAATTAAAATAAAAACAAAAAGAAAAAAATTTAAAAAGTAACATTATAATTACATAATGTAATCAACACCAATTTTCATCCCTAAAATTCGAGAGTGTAATTACACTCCTCTAATTAAACAAATTACATACATAATTAAATTACATAGTGACTAAGTAATTACTAACATGTCAAATTGTGTAATTACGCCCATAGCCAATTACTACGCAATGCTGTAATTCCCCAATTTGGTGTAGGGTTTGTAATTGTTTCGTTCGAGAGAAGCATGCAGTCGCAGCCGCCGCCACCATCACCACCAGAATCAAGCTTGTCAATCGCATCGGATTCGCCGCCGGAGAATAAACAAAAGCTCAACGAGGGAGATGGAGATGGAGATAAAGGAAGCTTGTCAATCGCATCGGATTTGCCGCTGGAGAAGAAACAAAAGCTGAGCGAGGGAGATGGAGATGGAGATGGAGATAAAGGTCAAAGCGGAGACTTATCAGCCGAATCGGATTCGGATTGCGAAATTCAGGAGGATACTATAGCTACTCCCGTCATGAAGTATTATTTAGAAGGAATTTGCCCTTGCTGCAATCAGAACGTGGACAAAGCTCTTTGGCAGAGGTACCGCCAACAAATCAAAGAGAGCCAGGTATATTCAATTAGTATTTTGTATCTTTCCTAAATTGTCACCACACAAATATTATCTCTTCTGCTTAATCCCAATATTTGCAGTTATGTGTATATACATATGTCTCTACCTTCTTTTGTTTCTTGCTTTATTATTTAGCTCTTACATGTCTTTCTTACTACTATAAGTTAACTATGCCTCTGGTGCATGCAGTAGGTGATGTTTGTGCCTGATTGGTTGAGTTGTACTTTGCTAGGGCTTTGACATTAAAGATGAAGATTGTCCTAGTGGATGCTCGATGGTGACCATCTGGCCCATGACAGGTTACTTAAAGAATCCTGAGAATGTTAAGGAGTTGAAAGATTATGCTCAAAAGGCACTTGATACATACAATGCTCGAGAGGTATGCTCTATTCATAGTTTCTATTGTCTTTCCAGTTGTTCTTTTCCTTTTGTTTTCTCTAGAAAGCTAAAAGCGTTCCCTTGTACTAATATTAGGGCACTAAATATGTGGTCGGGAAGATTCTGAAGGTGAATGGAAGTGGCTGTCGTGACTTCCATTTCTATATTACTCTTACTGTCAAGACATCTGATGGCGAAAAGCTGTATTTTCAAGCTAAGGTGGTGCGAAGTTTAGAAGGTTCTTTGGATTTCCCAGTCGTCAGGCCTAGGGTAATGAGAACTGCTATTCATTCCTTAATTCTGTTTATATTTTGGCATGCTGAAATTTCTAGCTTTAGTCTTCAAGTTTCATGACTTTAACGATCTCATAGAAAACCTCATGAGTTTTAAGTCATTAGGCTGCTGCAAGGTTTAGATTAGTCGCGACAAATTAGCATTCATTAAGAACCAACTAGCTGTTGATGGTAGATATAAGCTCGTCTAGACAAAATGTTACTCGTATCTAACTGTATGCAACACTATTTGACACAACATGCAGTTTCAAGATATTAATTTTGTTTAAAATTGTATAAGTAGTAGAAGAAGAAAATCTTAAAAATAAAGGGTTGAAAAGTTTTTTGATAAAGGAAAACCACTTGAAAGTTCAAGTTTGATTAATTACTGAACTTCAAAATATGTTTGTATGAGATAATGTTATTAGTTGAATACTAGAATGATCAAATATTTGAGTTGTAAGTAAAGTGTGATTATTTGAGATGAAGGAAGCATTGGAGGACCTGAAACATATGTCTAAACTATATGTGATATCCAAGTTGCTGTCCTTGTCAAATAAATCTCTGAAGAGAAACTTGTCCTAATACTTATAGACTCTGAAATTAGGAAAACTAGCCACTGGATCAAGAGCAATTGTGGCTCTGTTTTTTGGGAATTCTTTCAGGATTGTGAACCTGGAGAGAGTGAAAACTTGGTGCATTAGA